CCTTTTCAGAGAGTAAGCAAAAACAAAGATTTTCACCCATTTCAGAGCCACTGCTTTGTTCATGTGTCTGCTGACCCATGACTGGCACTTAGAAGCAGGAAAGGCTGCAATCCCTCCTTCACAAGTGTTGTCATATTCACAGTAGTCCATCAGGTGTGAGTTGGATTCCTTAAACTTCACACAATGGTTTTTGCTATTCCTGTCAACGAATGACAAAGTGACTGTAATTCTCTAGAACCTTTAAGTCCCAATTTCTTAGAATACCAACTTAGAATCATATTATCTTGAAGGTTGAAATAGATCTTCAAGATTGTCCAGTTAAACTGTGCACCGACCATCAATATCACCCCACTAGACTACGTTCCTTAGCACATCTAAAAGTTTCTTGAACACCTCCAGGGACGGTGACTCCACCACCACCTCTGTGGGCAGCCTGCTTCACGACCTGACCACTCTTTCAGAGAAGAAATTTTTCCAGTGTCCAACCTTGTATAATTTCTGCAACAGTAGCCTATATTACTGGTTTATTTTACATCCTTCTGTGTCAGAAATTGTTCATGCTGCCTGACGCAGCTTACCTGTGGAAAAGAAAAAAGATCTTGAAAGTGGGGAACATTGAAAAATGTGTATTATTCCCAAAATAGGCATCTGAGTCTACTGCTGGCTTCTTACTGGAGAACGCTCAAAATTCTTCTTTGAAATAACATTTGAAATTTCATTGTTTTTACTATTTTCCCCATGGGGAAAACGAAAGTGGTATGATGCAATTGGCAGTTACCTCTTTTCTTGTTTCAGTAAGACTGACTTTCTTTGCAGGGAAGTTGGCCATAGGACTTCAACCAACTTCTGTTTTGGGAGTGCTATGCTTTGTAGGCCTGGTGGGAAGTAAGCTGCTTGCGTAGCTCCTTACCCATCCATGGTCACATTTTTGTTTTTATGCATCTACTTCCTTCTTCCAAAAAATTAGATTTATTTCTTGTATTTATTGGTCTGTAGCTGCTGGTGATACCCTCCCTTTACATGCAATAAGTGTGTACAGATGCAATTTGCAAGTAGATTTTTGGATTCCTTTCTTTGGAGTGAAAATTGAGACAGCTGGTTTGAGAATCATTCACCCTCTGAATCTCACTAAACACCCAAGCTTCTTAAAAACATATGTATCATGCAGTTTAAATGCAGTAATGTAAGGTAAAGGTAGCTTATCCTGCTGAGATGTTTGCATGTTCTGTAGTGCTTTAGCAAATGTTTTACTGGTATCCAAGCTACAGTTTTACAGCTCTTCAGCAAGAGGTGATTATGATTGGTATTGTTTATAAAACAATACAACAGTTTGAACAATGCCAAGAACAAATGTCTTTGAAATGTGATGCCGTGCATTCTGGCAAAAGGAGTGGATAAAGTGACCTTTACTATGAAGAGGTAAAAGGATATGCCTTAGCTCATTTAAATTTGAGCTGCAATAATTTAGGAAAAGAGCATGCAGAAACTTCTATTGCTGCTTAAAAGGAATTAATCAGTGGAGCTCTGTGGTCTGTATCAAAGATGTGTTGCTACCTGATATATCTTATATCAGGTAATTTATATTTTATATAAAATTTATATCAGGACTCTTTTCCATGCTCTCCACCAAGAGAGACCTTAAGCGCTAACAGAAGATGTCAGTGTTTTACCAGATGGTGTTTCCCAGTAGTTCAGTGTCCAGCAGAAACAGTAACTTGTATTTAAATAAAAATGAAAATCTTCCAGAAACAGAAGAAAAACCAAGGTGTTCTCAGTGCCAGATCACCTGTGTACCAGACACCTCTCAGTTTTTCTTCCTAAGGAAGTGTTGGGATGCTGCAGCGAGAAGAGGTTTGAGCAACAGGTCTAAAGACTTGAATAGTTCAGTCTACATACCCTGAATTAGTAGTTTTTTGAACTTCTGTGACTTCCTCTTTCAGTGACTGTAGCTCTAGTTTAAGATGCTTCATCTTCCATTGATGAATAATGGCATGAGCTGTCTCTGCTTCCTCACCTGTCAGTAAAATGGTTTGAAAGCATCTGAGATGAGCTTATCACATCCTCAAGATGCTTCATGCTTCCATTGTGACACTTTACACCCTGTTTCTCATACAAAATTTAAGAACCTTACCTGCAGTTGTGTGTCATCCATATTGCTTCTTGGGCACACAATCATGTTCCTGTTTATCCTGTCTCTATTTAATCTATGATAACACCTAACCATGATTGACAAGCATGTATACTGATTTTTAAGCAAGTGATGTTTTGCATTAGGTGATGGTCCTGTGTCACATGCTGCTGTAACTCATTTATTTAACAGTATTTCAGAGCAGGAATCTGTTTATCTGTCAGGCATACTAAATGTTCACTGATTTCAAAGTATAACGCTTTCATGTAGTTACAGGACATAGCTGTATCCAAAACATTTTTTGATAGTTGTCAATTCTTTCAAAGTAGTATTTCGCTAATAAACGTAAAGGTTATTCCTTAAAAAGCAAGGAGCTTCTGTTGATCCTTGTAACTACTTTTTAAGGATATGGAATGTACATGTCATTTCAGAAACCCAAGGCGCAGCAGTCTTGCTTTTGTGAACTGATACTGTTTCCATGAAAAGTAATGACACATTTCGAGCTCTATCCCTACTTGTAGCAAGTGTACTGTTGAATGGATGTGGAAAGCCTTCAAGTAGCTAAATAGAAGTGAATGATGCACAAAGTGCCCTGGGCCCTGAAAAATGTTCATCTGCAATGTTAAGTGTTCCCAGTGTGAAGCTTTCAGTGCTGTGATGGTCATATTTTGAGGCAGGTCAGACTAATGAGTCAGCTTACTGGCCAGAATACCCCCTGGGTCATAAACATAATGGTATGCAAAAAATCAGAAGGGCAAAGCCATCTATTTGGCTTAAGGCTTATCCACAGAGCATGGAATCAACTTTTTACTGAACTTGAATATCATTTAAAGCTTGTCTGATAATTAGTATCTGCAAACTTATATCGAATCCCAACAACAACAACAAAAAAAGGTGGTGTATTTATTGAAGCATGCAAAAAACTTTTCTTTATATGGATAATGGAAAAGAAAAAAAAAAAAAAAAGCCAAATAATAGGACTACAGTTGTTTGTTTGGGGGAAAAAAAAAAACCCTAAAGGATGAGATCTGAATTTCTTTCTTTTGGCTTATACATTATGCTTGGGATTTCTGAAAACAGCTGGAATTCTGCTAAAGGGAAATAGAGTCTGGTTGACTTGAGCTGCGATGTCTTGTACAGCCTGTGCCAGCTGAGCCCTCTTTCCCAGAGGAAGAGTCTACCCTGTGGGATTCTTGTCATGTAACTTCTTGTACATAGCAAGGTCTCTCTTATGTTAAGCAAAGAATGCATATAGATATCTGATAAATGGCTTTTTGACTTACATAGAAGACTTTCAAGGTGTGTGCTAAAAATTGTGTAGCACAGCAGCTGTATGGAAATGCCTGGCTCCATTTTATGCCTGCTTTAGTTACTAAAGTGGACGTGGCTGGAGAGGCCTGCAAAGCTAACAAATGCTTTTAGAAGGAAAATGCATATTGTGACTTGTGCAACTTACTGTTAGCAGGGATTTTATTGTTTCTCGTACTGTAATCATCCTGTTCTGCATCTAATAGCTGTTCAAGATGAATTCTAGGTAAGTTGCCTCGAAGCCTAATCCTATACTTAAGAGAAAAAGGTTGCCTGGAAATCTCAACAACCTGAAGATACATCTGGGTTTGTCTTGAGATGTTCACGAAGAAAGAGAACTTTCTAACGAGACAGCAACTAGCTGTGGCATCCAGTAGAGCTGATGTGTAGTAGACCTGAGCTAGTGGAAGTAGGAGCTGCATTTGTAGACTGAGTATGTGGTATTCTGTGACCCTCCAGTGACAGGAGCAGTCTCTGCTTCTTTGCCTGTCAGTAAAATGGTTTGAAAGCATCTGAGATAAGCTTATCACTTTCTGAAGGGGCTATATTAGTTGTTGGAACCTCTGTAAGGTAAACGAGGAGGAGGAAGAAAACTACAGCCATGTAGGCTTAGTCTCAAAATAACCTTGAGAAGTTGAATTCTTACTCATGCAGGCAGCTAGCTGCTTTCCTGTGAGACTGTTCTATAAAGAAGAGGAAGGTCGCCTTAAGATAAGCCTGACTACCTCTAAGGTGTAGTGTTGTCCCAGAAAGGTACTCCTCATGCTGAAGAGAGCAGAATCTTTCATCAGTCTTTCACCCATCACTATGTGGGCACTTTATAATTTTTGATGAAGAAGCATTGTAACCTTTTCCATGTATGGACTTTCACTTTTGCAGAGCCTGCAAACAGTAGTAGCTATAAGTTTCAGAGGTGTAAAGGAAGGGGTCAAGCCTTTTGCTTGGATAATCAACGTCTGTGATATAACTGTGTGCTAAGAGGAATAGCATGTAATTTAAAATTTGAAATGTTTTGCTATACATATGTTCTTTTCTACATGGTAAAATAGATATTAGAGGAGACTAGTACAGATGTTTGAAATAACTGGAGATGAAAGTGAAACCAGAAACAATGTTGCTTTAAGTGATACTATCATCCTGTAATTTCCCTACTGCTTTTAAAAGCAGTAGCTCTTATGTTTAGGTTCAGGCTGGTGTCACATTGGCTTTCAGTAGTTTTTCAGTGGTGCAAATTGGTATAGAACAGTAGTCTAGATTAGTCTTCTAGATCAATTATATCGCATTCTTCAGGTAGTTAAGGTAGAGGGGAGTATTTAAATGGATTAGCAGATCTTAATCCTTTAAACTCTGACTCAGTGGAGACACTTAAGTGTGTACTGAATTTTAAGCATGAAAGTAGTCCCTTCCAATCATGAGGATTATTTGCATACTGAAGTGTTCAAGCACTTAACCAAATCAGTATCATAAATAGAGATTCTTAGACATGGCTGCAAAGTACATTAATGCTAGTCCTAATCTTTTACCTGTTTCTCATCTTTATTCTGTCTGTGCATGCTTTCTACAGTGAGTGACTTGAACCTGCCTGAAGCTTTCTTGAACCTGCCTGAAGCTTTCTTGAACCTGCCTGAAGCTTTCTTGAACCTGCCTGAAGCTTTCTTGAAAAGTTTGTTGGTCTACTTGAGTCAAGCAAAGCAGTGCTTTGTCAACATTCCACACATCTGTCTTTAAAATAAACTTTTGGCTGTTTTCTCCAGTTTTCTTTGACCTCAGTAAAATTATATGGTTGCAGTTAGAAGCAGAAGGCTTTGGCATCCTTGTTCATCCCCTAATTTTTCATTGGTTTTAGGATCAGCTACATATGAAGATAGTCAGACAAAGGCACAGTAAACTCTTCCATCATGTGCACTGCCATTTAAGAGCTCATATCAAAACATGAGTCTGACTCTCTCCAAAGGTTATGACTCTTGTGTCTTATAGGCAAGTGACCATTTCCAGTATATTCTGTGTATTACTGATCTTGCTAACGTTGGTGCAGTTGCCTGCAGACTCAGTAATGTGCTCTGTCCTTGGGATTTCCCATAATTCAAACGCCTGATTGTGATTGAAAGTTGAATGCTGCCTTTAAAAAGAAATATAAGCTTCAAGCCAGTTGAAAGTTGTATAGTTGTCCATTCTTTGAAGGTGTAGCAGCTCATACAGGAAACTTGATCCACAGCTTGGGATGATAGAAATGCAAAGTATCCTGTTAGCCTTATATGAAGATGTAGATACGTGCAGGTGTGGAATTTTCTGTAGGTCACCCCTTGCCTATGCTGTGTCCATGCATTGCAGCCTTGGCCATAGAGTTCTGTTCCTACTTAAATATAGGTGCTTGTACAGGTATTGAAAAAAGTTTAGGAAAGAATTAAGAGTAAAATTCTGGCATTCCAAGGTGCTTAAAAGGATTTCAAATCTTTCATTTGAGTGCCTGATTCCTTTTGCTTCTAATTGCAAGTACTTATTATCCAAATGGCACTAGAAATCTCAGCTGTTCTTTACATGCTGCCCCTGTATGTGTGCCTTGTACATACATTCTTTCAGATGTGTGTTTCTGAGCTACAATTTCTGTGTTTTGCTAGTGCTCCATTGCTGTGATGTCCATTTTATTTCGGGGGAAGGGAGGGGGGAAGAAATCAAACCAAGAAGTTGTATCTTGTTTATTCCCCTCTAAATATAACTTCTGCAATAATTGATTTTGTTTGCCTGAACAGTTAAGAGAAAAAACCATGATACATTAGCCTTCTTCAGTTATATAGTTCCTGCTTGTGTAAGCAGTCAAGGGAAGGAACAGAAGAAAATAGATGGAAGAAAACAGTTTGAGTTTTTCTATGCAAGTTTCCATAAGTTACAAACCCTCGAAGAAATATGAGCTACCAGAAAAAGAACTGAAGGGAGTTCCCTATGCAGGGGTGAACTTGCAAATAAACACAATTATTGCATAGTGACCAGCATCCTTTCTTTCCTTTCTTATCTGTAACGTAAGTAGTACTGCTGTCATATTTTTAAGACAGAGAATTTCACTATAAGTCCTTCAGGCCAGGATTTTTTTTCCTTTTGTATGCAAACTACTTAATATGAAGTTTTCTCTGGACAGCCTTGCTGCTGTGGAAATTTGGTATGGTTTTGGCACTGTGCTGACTCTGTAGTGCAAAGAAGTTTCCAGCCATCTTCACTGGTGCACTTTGTTAGAGAGACTTACTGGTTGGTAACTTGGTACACTCTTAGTTAACACCTGCAAAGTCTTTAAAGCAGAGAGGAGTGGGCAAATGATAGAGATAAGGCTGTGTTTGTCTTTTCAATAGTCTGTAAGCTGTGGGTGTTAAGAAAATCCAAAACATGTAACCTCATAAGCAAAAATGTAGCAAGGAGGAATCAGCCTATGGTCAATTTTCTGTGTATTATAGAAAATGCATTTGTGCTTAAAGAATTAGAAGAAAAAAGAAATCAAAGCTTATTATTTCTAGCAGCCGAGTTCCATTTACCACAGTTTAGATTTAAGCTGCTAATATATAGTGTGTGTTAGCCTGTCTTGCTTGATTCTTCCGTTTTAGAAGTTTTATAAGCATGTTACACCAGAGGGCGGTAGAAACCTACCACTGCTTTAAGTTGTTCTGTATCGCAAGCATTAGTACTTGTTTTTCCCCTCTACTCCTCCTCCTCCCTGCTATGATGACACCCAAAGGCTAGATAAGGCCAATAAAGGGGGCTGCCACAAGTGCTGTCGCAGTGCTACTGAATGCAAGGTCTGTGCTTATGGATCCATTGCTAGACATTGAGCTGATTCTGTAGATTTGATGTATGCTGCGATGAATTCGGGCCCAAGCTGATAGCTGAAACCAGGTAGTTTCTATTTCTGTGCAGAATCCTGTAACGGTAGAAGGGGAAATGAAGTGACAAGCTGTACAGTTTATCCTGCACCATGTTCTCCTGCTAGTTGCTGAAGTCTCTTAATCCCCTACCAAAAGACTATTTTTTTATTTTATTTCACAGTATGATAACTAGGGTCAGATAACAGTGCTTGGTAAGTTCATGCATTTAAAGAAGAAAAAACAGTGCTGCAAAGCAGCTTCAGCTGGGCACTGTTCAGACCCATACATCACGGCGATGTCAGCAGTGCCAGGGTTACATCTACTCTGTGCATCTGCTCTGTATTCTCTGCTCACCCTCAGCATCTTGGCAGTGTTCAGGAGCCACAGGACTTCACTTGGGTTTGGTTGTCACTGCCTCCTGTCAGTTCCAGTGCTGCAAGCCATCTCAGCAAGTCTGGGGATTCCCACCCATCCCGTTCTTTATTTCCTGATGAGGGATATGGAAATACACCCTCTTCTCTGGCTCAGTGGGCTCCAGTCCCAGCAGTGCACACAGACGTCTCAGAGCGTAGTGCCGGTTCACAGCTGAGCACAGCAGAGGCTTTGGAACTTGCTCCCTTTCTCTGCTTGGAAATAGCCTGGGTATGATGAGCTTCCAGACAACATTGTAAAGCTCAGCTTTCCCCCGCCCCCTGCTTCCCTGGGTGTGCGAGTGTGCATGTGGGAAGGAGGGAATTGTCATTGTGAAGAACTGTTCAGAAGAATGGGGGATTTACTCGTGTCCTAGTTTACTGGTGAGAATCTGTCTTACATTTTGCTGCACCTAGGGGTGTATTTTCAACTTCTCTCTGATAATTGTAGCATATGTACTGCCCATCTTGCAGAAAGGTAAAACATCCTACCAATTACACGGACTGTGCACAGGGGTACCATGGACATGACTGTTTGTATAAGCTCCCAACTTTTGTGGTGATGTTTGTCAAACTATGATGTTGCTAGATGGTCTGCTTTTTCTTTTATCTTATTTATTTCATTTCTTTGCTTACCTATAAGCCTGTAAAAGAAATGTTGAGTTCAAGACCTGCGTAGTGGAATGATTCACAAAGCTGGGTGCTCCTGAGGCCCTGTGTACAAAAGGATGAAGGCCTGGTTTGCTCAGAGCTATTTGAGAGTGGAAAATGCAAGAAATAGGAGGTGAGCTGCATCTTCCAAAAACCCTGCATGTTTCATTCTGGCAAATTCTTTTCATATTTGAGGTTAAACACATGCCAAATGAAGTCCTGTTTTGGGTAGATAGCAGACTTGTAGGGCAAGCACCAGGAGGGGAGCAAGGGAAATGAGTTTTTGAAAGCTTTTGCTTTGGTAATGTCTGCAGCTTGTCATATTGTAGCATTGTCATAACTCCAGCACTGCGTTATTGCACTTTCTGTGTTCAGCTGACTTTTCTCTTTGTGCCATGCCGTTGTGCTTATGGGGTCAGAGAAGGCTTGAGTGTCTGCATCCTTCTCTGAGGATTGTGCCCGGGATGCTCTGATGCAGAACTGCCCATTAGGTACTGTGCAGAGAATATGTGCCTGTCTAGGCCCTCTGTATTTTCAAAGCTAAATATCCCCACAAAATTCCTTTTAGGAACCAGTTTCACTGTTTATACCTATAAAGTTTGATTTAGCAAAATTATATATATATATGTTATAAGCCTCTAAATTGACCAATTGACCAATCATGATCATAAGATACGAAATTAGTGATATAAAAAAAAAATAAAATGTAACTGTGAAGACAGACAGGTGTGTACCAAAGGTACATTTAAGCCCGAATTTCATAATTCACTAAATCGTTAAGATTGGAAAAGACCTCTAAGATGATCTGCTTAGATGTCAACACATCACCACCCTGCCCACTAACCATGTCCCTCAGTGCCAAATATACCATTTCCTTGAAAGCCTCCAGGGACAGTTACTCCACCACCTCTGGGCTGCCTGTTCCAACACCTCACCGCTCTTTCTGAAAAGAAATTCTTCCTACTATCCAATCTAAACCTCCCTTGATGCAACTTAAGGCCATTGTCCTAATTACCAGGGAGAAGAGGCTAACCCCCATCTTGCCACAACTTCTTCTCAGCCAGCTGTAGGGAGTGAGCCTCCTTCTCCAGACTGAACTATCCCAGTGTCAAAGGCTTTGGCAAAGTTTAGGTACACTACATCAACAGCCTTTCTGTCATCCAGTAGGTGAGTCACCTGGTTATGGAAGGTGGTCAGGTTCACTGAGTAGGACTTGCCTTTCATGGCTGGGCCTGGTCCCTGGGTTGTCCCACATGTGCTTTGTGATTGCATTCAAGATTATCTGCTCCATGACCTTTCTCAATACTAAGGTCGGACTGACAGGCCAGTAGTGCTCTGAATCTCCCTTCTGACCCCCCCTGTAGGTAGGTGTCAAGCTGGTAAGTCTCCACTTGTCTGGATCTCCCCAGTTGACTGGAACTGCTGATAAATGATGGTAAGTGGCTTGTGTGTGAGTGAACAGCAAATGGAATATAACAGACTCACAAAGTTTTAAGTCCTTAAATGTGCACTGTATGGTATATTATCACAGTTTCACCATGAAATGAGAAGAATGCATTTCGAAATGAACCTCTGTTCTCAGCCCAGCCTGCTGAGCAGATGGGTGTCAAAGCTATTTTCTTCTGTAGGTCATCAGAAGACAGATTGATCAAGTAAATGTACTGGGATTGCAAAGACAAAAAGCATAGCCAGTTAAGAGGATTTTTTATATTTAAATTCAAATTTCGTTTTATCACTATAGGTTTTTTATGTGAATATTTGCTATTTCTCTGTCATTTTAAGAGAGTCCAGGATCACTAGAAATATGGAGCAAAAACGAATCCA